TGATGTCATTAGACCACACCCCTTCTCATTACAGAGATGCACATCACCTAATATGCTTAATTGGTAGTAGGCTTTCGAGCCTATACAGCTTGGAGTAAAACAACATGCATGAAGAGGATGATGTGGACAAAATACTCATTTGCCTAATAATTCTGCACTCCCTGTAGTTCATCCTTGAATCCTGTTCATGTCTGGGCCCCATGTAAAGAAATCCTCTCCAGCTTTTCGTGGTGATGATGTACTCTGCCATGTTTACAAGAACACAGCAGACACCAGGACAGTGGCCTAGACCAAACTTGAACTAGGAAAACCAGTTAAGTTTAAATGAATGTTTTTGCCAAATCTGAAAAAGTTTCCCTTGAATGCTCCTGAGATAGCGGATTCCTGACTGAGCTCCTTGGCATGGGTGATGAACTTTATTGGACTGGATCAGGCCACGGCGGTCTACAATGCTGAGGCATAAAAAGTGCCATGAAGAAAACAACTGGTGTTTTATCAGTGTTCGAACTGAACTTAAAGGGCATAAAATGTCATCACGCATGCGGAAGCCCTCACACATGTGAAGCAACAGAGTGAGGACAGAAGCGCTGCCGAGGAGGAAATGGGCTCAACCACAACAAGGGAAGTAAAGTCAAAGTGCTAACAAGGTTAATGTACAGACAACTCCTACCGTGTGATATGTATTACAATCAAAACAGTATAAAAAGTTCAAGATACACTGAAGACTAAAATACTGTAGTTCTACATTTTAAGAGATTTGTACCGCATGTTAGATTTAATAACTTTGTATGCTTTTTTTTAGAAACTGAACAATCAAGCAGAACATCCTTGTGTCTTACTTTTTAACTTATTTCTACATGAGGACTAAAAGGAAGAAATTGTACTAGGGATGACTGCAAAGAAGGAGGCCATAATTAAATTCAGTCTGGTAGCAAGTTGTCCTGCCCTAGCCATTTAAATGAATATTAATGATTCTCTAATAAATAATATCCTAGTAACAAACTACTCAACTTATTCAGCTAAATTCAACTGCAATTAACCAACAAAAGAAACAGTCTAAGAGACAGTCAGAAGGTAAAGTACAAGTTTAAGAATTGACAAAGAGGTGGAAATGAAAAATGAAACAAAGACTTTGAAAAATGGGGAAATATAAAAACAGCTCATGGTAAAAAGACTTCATTCAACCGTTCCAGAAGGAAGGGTGCACATAGGGGAAAACAGACACACAGCGAGACAACTTCCTGATCTGAGTTTTCTAGAAAGAGGCGATGACAAAGTGGCCTTACTATCTTAGTTCTGTTTTCACGACTAAAAACTGGCCTAAGCAATCTAATTCTGGTCTTACTTTAAAAGACAGTTTAAGAAAATGTGCATCTAAACCTTGCAGAGCTTGAATGCTCCTTTACGACCTTTACGAGGATTAAACTGGTCAGTTAGCCCTTAGTAACCCAGTGTCTTAGTGATCTGCAACATCTGCCAAACAGCTGAAATTCACACTTTTATTCATGTGTCGTTAACGTTGGGGAGTGTATTTTTTTTTTCTTAGTGACCGATGGCTGCCAGGAGGTCACTCACCAGTCTTGAGGCCTGCATAATTAGGGCCTAGGTTTTATTTTTAAAAAGCTGTTTTTTGTGACAGTTCAAGTAACCATTATCACTAGTCTACCATAATTATGCACAATCATCTGTGAGTAGTTTGGGAATGTAGACATCTTTAATTTAGAGTCAAATAATTTCTTGTCAGAATGGAGTTAAAGTTACTGCATGAAGTTCCCCTCCCTAGGAAATTCTGTTCAAAATGCAGTCTTATTTTTTTTTGTCTGGCAGTTTTTGTGTTGGTGTTTCTTGGGGGGGGGTTTCTTGCATTTACAAAGAATAAATGAAAGATTAAGAAAAAGGTATGGTATTTAATGTCTAAAACAAATGCACTGAAACAACAGTCCAAAAAAGGTTAACAAACCAGATTACGGGCTCACATTGTTCTGGCAGGGCAAAGAGTATTCATCTCAAAGCAGAAGTAATTCCAATTTAGAGCAATTTTAACCAAGAACAAATCATATTCAAAGAGTGCATCAAGTTTGTTTTCCCCAAAAACGCCAACACAGCTAACTTATTCAACTGCCTTAAAACACCCTAGAATCGATAAGAAAAACAAAACAGTGGTTGCTAATACGAATATCCAACATCAACTCAGGTGCTGTACAATGCATCAGCCTATTCATCCTGAAATAATGTAAATAACATCCATTATTCAGGTATAATGAATTCAGTGAAACGATATATTTTGCTATCTTCTGCAAATGTGCTTTAAATAACAGGAATGTTGCACAATGTAAAACTAAAAGCAGTGCCTGCTGATTTAATGCTTCACCAAGTTTAGCTGAACGAAAAGGAGCCTTTTATTTTCATTGAAAGAGTTGTGCATTAGGGGAACTGCTGCAAACCATAAATGTGAAAGCAGTGCTGTTTTTATGGGACATTTCTAAGTGAAATTTGTAATCCAAAAATGTCTTGTTGGTTAAGAGTGGGTCTTTCACTGCCAGAATATGTGGATACAGAAGAACCTTTAGATTTCATTGATATAAACGCTTAATTAAAAAAATCCTTAACTGTACTGTGACCTATTTAGAGTTCAAGTGGCTTCTTACAGAAAGAAATGTGTTATAAAGAAACCAGTCACCTTTTAAGAGGATTCCAGCGTGAATGTATGCATTATTTGTAATGTACAGTTAACAGCTGTTGTTTTCTTTATACAAATTTTTTTTTGTTAAGCTGAGGTTAGAAAATGGCTCAACCAAAAAATGTCAGATGTGTAAATGAAACTATACACTGCATGTGTGGGCAAACACGTGAACTGAAACACAGTTGTGACTCACCACACGCTTTCGCTGCAGAGATGCAGAGTTCCTCTGCTACGTACTCTCCAGGTGGAAACGTGAGGACACTTTCTGAATAACTTGCCCCGCCCTCTCCTCCCTCCTTCTCGCAGTACTGGTAGACGCTCAGACAGGTGGCCTTACTGTCTTGCTTCGGTCCAGTGGCCAAGTCTAGATTTGGCGGGAGGCCGTTCTGATTTTCCGTGGTGGGCGGGTCCATGTTTGTCAGCAGAATACAAGCCATGTGCCGCTTAAAAAAAGACATGCACCTGTCAGGTGAAAAAGAAGAGATAAAATGAGAAAGGAACGACTTAGAGTGAAAGGAGGCACTGCTGCAGAGAAGGATTTTTTTTTTTTGTGTGTGTGTGGGGGGGTATTCAATTGCTAATAAATACTACTTTACAACTGACCATTCAGTACATGTTGCATTGGATAGAAGCTAAGGATTTGAGGGGTTTTTTGGAGGGGGGGGGAGTTCTGCATATTAAAATTGTTTTGTTTTTGCATTTCATCAGTAACAGTTACAAGCAGTGAAAACTAGAACTTTGCAGTGTCATTGTCTGTAATAATATCCTGACCTCTGTTAACTTGACAACACTGAGCACTTCCGGCACCTGTACTGTATATAGATAAGAACTTTAGTTGCAAGTGAGCTTCTGAGTTAGTGGCGACACGGTTGCACAAAGATTTTTAGAGAGGAGAGATGCAAAAATGTGCAATAAAAACACTATATGAATGAAGCGGCTTATGTAATACAACAACCTGAACGATCTTAATAAAAACAAGACTGTCTCACTGTGCTTTATTTGAAAAATATATCCATATACCAGTAATATCTGTAGTCAGCATTGTGTGGTGTAGCTCAGCTAAAACGCCCTTTGCTTGCAGAGTTCTTGATTTAAGAAGAGCTCTTCTTTCTGTGCACAAACTAGAAACCTAGAGTTAAATGTGAATAGAGCTGCACTTTAATTGTTGTGTACTACACTGGTACATGGAAGCCACAGGTATTTGGAATGACTCACTCAGAAGTCTCTGATTTGTGTATATTTGTAATACCAGAACATTAGATAGACTGCAGACCAATTCAGTGCTAGGTAGTTTCAGCTGCTCCCTTATTTCCCAAAGGGCTGGATCGGTATGTTTGGTTTGGGACAGACCTTTAAGCCAGATGCCATTTCCCAAACAGCCCTCCAATTTACTACATCCGGGTTGTACTGAGGATGCAGATATAAGCTTGTGACCCACTGAGCCCGGGCTCAGGGGGGTCACAATAATAAACCATTACGCCATGAAAGCACTCCACTGATGAATTCAGTAGAAAGACTTATTCTTGTTTTATAGCAACATGTGTGTGTCTGTTTAGCATTTTCCTCTGGAGAGCCTTGTTCCTCTGGAACATTAGAATACACATTTAGGACTACTCTGATCAGTTCGCATTTTCAATGTGTGCTGGGGTAAACAGCATCAGATGAAGCTCATAAGTGAAGAATGACCTCTATTGAAGTGCACAGTGGTAAGTGTAGCTTCTTGACTTAAACGTTCAACCTCTCTCCTCGGAAATTACAGTCATCCCAACAAAAGAATAAAAACTCTACGCCCTCAACTTAATGCCAGCAGCAACAAAACAGTGTCAAACAAAGGTGTTATTACTGACTTATAAAAACAAAGAGGAAGTGCAACAATATTAAAACAAACAACACATAAAAAAACTGCACAAGTGCTGCGGAGAGATAACAAAAATGGATTTCATGAAAATTAATTAAATGTCTTTCCCAATGCCGTGGGAAAGACACAGTGATGAGGTGAAACGCCGTCATGTAACTTAAATAAGTCGGTCCTATTAAATCAGCTGAGTCAGTGGTAACTTTTAAATGACTTCTGAAAACATTTTTATAGTTGAGCTTTCCCTTTTGGCAAACCTTATTATCATTTCTTTTAACTTTTTTATCCAAACTATGATCCATTGTTTAGCCGTGTGTTTGAAAAATAGTGCAATACAAATAAAACTATGATAATATTTCTGGACAACCGTCAGTAGGTAGGCATTATTACTGACTGAGATAAGCCTTCCTGTTTCAGATAGGCGCTGACCCCTGTCTGGCCATGGATATCTGCCTGGTTACAGAGGTCTTTAGAGCTGCTTCCAATACAATGAGTACAAGTACTAAGTGCTCATTTGCTACACAAACCTCAGCAGACAAGAGAATTGCGTGTTTTCACAATACTTGAGTAGCCATGCTTTCAAAATGTTTTTGAAATTGTTGTTTAACGTTTAAATCTTTGGTGACCTAAATTCAGTTAATGGGTACTTCCTATTTTGTTACTGGGTCAAAGTATTGTGCCAGCAGGGGTGTAAACGGCTCTGGATTAAACCGATTACTCCAATTAATGATACAGATTCAATTTATCAAACAACTGAACAAGCGTTGTTTACTAGTGGTACTCGTATTCTGGCCACTGCCCTTCAGCACATGCTTCACCATAGCAGGGGCTCGATGTAAGTCTTACTTTAAACGACAGTAATAGCCGGTAATAGTTTAAGCAGAATAAAACAATAATAAAGTCAAGCTAATTAAAACAATGGGAGCTGTAGGTATAAAGTTGATGACAAAAGAGAGACTTGCACATTTTGTTTTTACAGTTCCAGGCAGAGCAGCTCACTAAATGCTGCAGTAATAATATTCTTCCAATTGTTTCAGGTCTCTATTGATGTTATTATAATTGTTCGATAGCTGGGGACTATTCTACATGTTGTACAAGAAGAGAGAGAAAAACAGCCCTGTTTACACACCCAAAACGTTTATCATGCAGCAGACACACACACACAGAGTTTTACCAGTTCCTTGCTGCGTCTTATCAGGGCCTTGGTATAAGTTGAGGTCAGAGCTATCAGCTCTCACACATTTTACTTTTTATGACTTTTTGGTTTCACTTCTGGTTACAACGCCAGCTCTTCACTCAGCCTGGACTGCTGGACTTCATTAACAGTCAGGATTAAAGGTGCTTTTTGTACAATTAAAATAACCATCAGCAGTCGATCTTAAAATAAGCTGAATGTCTGTTGTACATTTCAAGGTTATGGTTCTGAGTTTCAGACTGTTGGCTGCAGTGCCAGCTGACCACAGAAAAAGTTGTGTGTGACTAAAGTCTATCTGGGCTGGAAGCCTGCCAGAGGCTACCATGCAAATTTCCAGTGGACATTCCTATCTGCAGATCCTTCTGTACAGACTGTTGTCCTGTCTGAGCAACTTTTCTGCAAACTAAAATATTCTTTCCACTGTGAACTGTGGATATCCACCCAGTTGCTCTCCAGGGGTGGTCCTCGTGATCTGAGCTGCTCTTTAAGTTTTGCTTTTACTGCAGCCTCCTCTTACGCTGCAATCCTTCTTTCGGTTTCATCTAATTGTAAATGTCTTTAAGTAGTTTATTCTCTTGTCTAAACCACTTATCTCATCCTTCCTTGGTCTTCTAACCTAAAGCTAACCTTTACTGTAACACCTAAGCCTAACCCTTTCTCCATTCTATCATTGTTCTTGTTCTGGCAACTTATTTTATTGAAACTAACTAATGCTTAGACTGTTTGGGATTCTTTTTATTTTTGGTCCCAACTTCTCCAGGTTCACTCAAACACATCTCAGAATAGATTGTTTCATTCTACTGGACAGAGCCAGTAAAATCCAGCTTTAAAATGAATTCCTCCTTTTATTTGTCTGCATTGCTCTTTAACAACTTCAAAACTCTAATTTTTGTGTATTTTCTTTACATAGATGTTACATAGATCTCGACTTAGTAGAAGCTGATAAAAGTTGAAGAATTAGTACTACAGTGGTGGAGGGGGGGTAATCTATACAAGGACTGGCAGAGAAATTACAGAATAAGCATGTGCTGTTTTGGAAGTGGATTAGTAGTTACTGTATAACAGCTATAGCATAAGTAGACTAGATATAATTACACTGCTTTAAATACTATACACAAATTGGAAATAGACTTACAAAAAAGGCGTGCAGGCACAAAATTACTCCACGCAGAATCAACACTATTAAATAACAATCTTAATAAAAATAGTATCAAAACTTACTGACAAAATACTGGAAGCTACAGGAAAACATGTTCTGGCTAAACAGCTGCAGAATGAAATATATTGTAATATTTTTTTAATAAGTGACTACTGACATTATCACAGCAAATACATCAAAGTTACATTTTAAGTGAGAAAGAAAACCCTACAAAACTGAAAAGCAGATTGATGGCTGAAACATTAAGAAAAAGCTGCAATTGTGCCAGTTCACTTGAGGAAAACAACAGCAGGAAAGGATACGACTTCCAGCAGTAACTTAACACAGTTCTGACACCATAAAAGTAATTAGTTATGTGCAGACAGGACCACAGAAGCAGGCTACAGCAATGGAGACCTCAGCTGACCCTGTTAAGTCAACACAACTCAGAATGAGGGGCGGTTTATAGACACAGAGCATAAAACTTTAGTGGTTACCATTCACAGCTTTATAACAGAGTAATTCCCATTCATTAAGAATTTTGACCATGACTTGAATGTACTGAAAGTTAAACTAAACCACTTCCTGCCAAAAAAAAATAAATCACACAAAGGAGGCTCAGCTACACATTAAATTCAGCAAGAAACCACACTATGAGATGGTAGTCTTTGCAGTCTTGGTGAGATTGGAGTAGTGACACTTGAACCTGCACTCCACATTTCAGAGCATCTTCAAAGCACAGCTGCAGGCCAGGACAGTGGAGCTGTTGAACTTTGCCTGACCAATGTATCATTTTCTAACAGAAAGTTCTTGTCTTTGTTCTGTCTACTGTGGCTCAAAATGTTGTCCATCCCTGCTCTAGGTCCTGCCAAGGCTTTCCACAATGGCTTAGAAACGTAATATAGCTTGGATAGGCTCCAGTTTCACTGCAATCCTAAATTGAATAAGCAAAAGAAAACAGATGGATGAGAAAAAGCTGTTAGCTGGATTGGCTTACACTATTGTTTACTGCAACACTTGAGAGACTCCTAGTATTCAGTATAACAACTTCCTTGCTAACTTTATTCATGAGGCTTCACACAGGTCCAAAACATTATCAGCTAGCACCACACCCCAATTCAACTGAAAAACAAAAAAAAAACCCTCATAATAAAATACACAGCAAAAGGATAAAACAGAAGAAAATAAAATCACAGTGGCCAGCTGGATTTCTCTCACTCCTAATCTTTCACTAGTTCTAGAAGAGGTTGTAAAAATGTCAATTTTATTCAGGA